ATCAGAGTGAGAATCTAGTCTCAAAAAAAAAAAAAGAAGGAAATTAGACATGTGACTCTTTGCTAGATATGGCAGTGTTAACATTATGAATTATTTTGATGACCAAATCCCAGTTCATGGGGGAAAGAAAGCCATTTGGCCCATGGGCTGTGAGTTTTGAGTCTTCAGCAAAATATGCCTGAAATGGACCTTGATATGGACTTGATCCAATTTGAAGAATATCCATGCTATAGAGAATTCTGTACAAAATGTGTTTAAGGAGTCCATGATACTGCAAACTCAGGAAGGATTGTAATCAGAACCACTTGTGAAAACAGATTAAAGTAGCAACCCACTAAGTAAATATTAGTTTTTCAAGGTGAGTAGGTTAAGTTAAATTAATGATTCAAGTTGCTAGAGCCCAAACAGGGAGTTCTTGATGTTGTTGCTCTGAGAGGTTGAACTGCATTTTCAATTAAGCCTCCCTTATGGTTTGGAAGTATCAGATATGAGTCTTTACATTTAATCAAGTTCTTGGGTTAAGTTTGATACTGGTCTAAGGCTAAAGCCACATTACTTTCAAGAAATAAATATCCTTGGCCCTTTCTGAGTCACAAGCAAGAAGCCAGATCAAAGCAGGCTTTGCTTTAGCTGAACAAACATTTACAGAGCGTGGCTTCTGTACCGGGCACCATGCTGAGCATGGCGGAGCATATATATGGGAGACTCGCTCTCTTAAGGATCCTACAATTAAGGGAGATGAGGCATGAACATAAATAACTCCAACACAACTAAGTTGGAGAAGCTCCATAGAAAGGTTACAAAGAAAAGTTCAAGGAGGGAGAGATGAAGAATGAGGGCTTCATGGAGGAAGTGACAACCAAAGGCTGAGACATGTGAGGAACACGTTTTGGGTACTTGCTCTGCAGATAGCATAAGCAGATGTCAGGAGAGCCCAGAGTATTCATCTGGCTTGCATGTATGGCAAACGTACAGAGTGACGCCAAATGACACTGAAAAACAACGCTGGAGCCATACATTGGAGGGACACTGAGTATTAGGGCAAGCAGCTTATGCTTGATTCATTAAGTATTGGGGAACCCTCAGGTGTTGTTAAGGGACTTACCAGTTACAGTGCTCTCAGCTGTAAAGACAGAACCAAATATCCATTGAACAGTCATTTATGCAATAAGTACATTTTATTATCTCACATAATTCCTGAGTTGGGTATCCCGCAGCTCAGTGATGCCAGGGCTAAAGTCAGCTTCTCTTAGCTTTGCCTTTAATGTCACAATATGATTGTCACAGCTCATAAGTATCACATCTTCACAAAATCACATTCCAAGGCAAGAAGAGAGTAACAGCGCTTCTCCTTGGCCATGTGTCTGGTTTCATCAGGGACATACATCTTGCAGAAACTCTTGGCATTTTCCTTGGTCCCCTCAGGCAGAAGTGGTTAACAATTTCCCCCCTAAACCCAACGGTAGAAAGAAGACCTGGATTGCCAGTTTTGGTTTAGTCCCACTTGGTTCATCCCTGGGTCTGGGGGGGAACCCATTTCCCTAAGTATAATGCAGCTCACAGCTGAGCAGAACATGTGTTTCCTTCATGAGGAGGAAGGGAAGAACAGGCACTGAGTTGATTAGGTGGCCAGCCTTGTATCTGCCGCAGGGAGAAAGTCCACAGCACTGTGTCATTGATGCAGGAATCTGGAAGTGGTGCACAAGAGGCACTGGCCTGGACGAGCATGGAGGCCCAGGGAGTCAGCACACTAATCACGGTTCTAGATTACCTGCAGGAACTTTCAGCAGGGAGATGGGAGAAAAGACCTTCCATGCGTAAACCCTAGAGTCAAAGTTTCCGAACTGCGACTGTGGCAGGGAGGAACAGTTCCTCCTCCAGCTATCCAGAGAAGTTCTGTTTTCAGCTATGCCACTTCTTGGGCTTTCATCAAATGATTAAATAAATTGGAGTGTTGGAGGAGTAATGAAAATATTTGAATCCTACCCATCTAGAGGAGAGAGAAGGATGGAGGGGTCAAAGACAACCATAGGCTTTAAGGCTTGATGATTGAAAGAATGTGGAAATTGGAGGGGAGAAGGGTTCGGAATCCACAGGATTCTGAATTTGAGGTGCCAGTAACCCCCACGTGATTGCAAATTATCCACACTTAGAAATTCAGACCTAGAATCATCCCCTTAGAGCCAGGAAAGGGGCAGGACCTGCAGCAGTGTGACATATAACAGAAAGCTAAAAGAGTAGAGGATCCAAAATGAATGCTGAATTTAGGTATTCATAGTTGACCTTCGCAAGCATTTTTAGTAAATGATAATAACGATGGACAGGAAGTATTTTTGAGGGGTTAAAAAACAAGTGAATAGATAGGAAATTGAGACAACATATAGAGATGACAGGCGACCCTTCAAAAATGATGGCTGAGAAAAAATGTTGGCATGGAAAAGAAGCTTAGTAATCTAAAGTTAAACAGTGTATATACACTGGACACCTTACAGTAGAGCAGCATATTTAAAACAATTCAGCAGCTCAAGCAGAATTTGTAACACCTCTCACAAGCTTGAAATCATGAGAACCATCCGTTTCTGCTCCACCCCAAGCAAGAGTAAGAAAATGGGTTTGCTATAATTTTAACGAAATGGCTCTTCTCTGTGAACCCCAGGTATATCTTGTGCCAGTATACAATGGCCATGGTAGGAGTGGGGACGGGTTTCAGACTGCTGAAGGCATCCTCAGGTTCTTCCAGGAACTTGCATTTACTGATCAGGGCCAGAATGTGGCCAGCCTTGGGGCGTGACGTCATGCCTCCTGTATGCGAATGTGGGTAAATCCAGCATTGGTAGCCCCCAGGACCACAAACCCTGGGGCCAGCCAGGACCCGCGCAGAAGGTCACACCTCAACCCCTCTCGAGCAGTCAGCTCCGAGTTTGTTTTTCTCGTGTACTCTCGCCAGTAGCAAATATCTGAATGTGTATTTGTGTTTAGTAATATAAATATACTGGATATACTGTAATGTACTATTGCGTTATAAAAAAACACCCACTCAATATTTTTAATGGATGAAAGAAAAGATAAACAAACGTGGGAGTGCTAATGATTTTCTTTTTGCACCTCAAGAGACTGTCAGGAGCACACCTCCTCGCCCCGTGAGAGTGCAGTGACCCTAGTGTGGAGACCTCAGCTCCAGAACGTGGCATTTTAAGAAAGACAATAGTATTGACAGAAGCGAGCTTCCAACAGTGTCTTTTGCAATGAGAGGACTGAAGTCATCACTAGATAAACACAGCCATGGGTGCGAGCAGCAGAAGGCAGCGCTAGTACTCGTTTGGTGTGATTTTCCATTTCGTTCACCTCATCTTGTTGGAACCAATTCCCTGTTAAGGCTGCATAACCAGCACCCCCCACCACAGGGACCACCTCAAGGGGAATGGGACTGAGAAGGGCCAGACATTCCCTGTAACCTTAGGCAGCCTGGTTCTTCTTCCGCAAGCACAGCCTCAATTTCCATAAACCCCAAGATTATGGAACAGGTGACGCTGGGTCTCCACATGAGGTCCATAGCAGGCATCCTGCAAAGCAAGCCTTGGGGGATTTGTAGGAAAAAGGAAGATATGCCAGGCTTCCCCTTGAGAAGCTGGCCCTCTAGGAATGAGGTCAGAGAGCCCACCAGCTCAAGCCCACCTGGTGAATTGCATGGCACCGGCATTATGGCCTGGATGCCAGGGGTAGAAAAAGGCAAGTCGAGGCTACTGTTCTCCTAACACAGTGGTTTTCCAACCATGTCCTATGGGGCCCTGGGCATCCTAAGAGGGGCTTCCCAAGCTGTCTGGCAGGGAGGATGGGCAAGAGGGGCACCAGGTTGACAGAGCCCTAATCACCAACTTCACCCAGAAGCCTTCTGAAAGCAGATTTATTGCTCAGAATACAAAAAGCCAGGATGGTGGTGCCCCTTTCTAAACCCTGCTTGGCCATCAAGACTGCCAGTCCCAGAGTTCAACTGCAAGGGTCGGGACTCAGCTCTGCCTCCCATGCGCTGTGAGCCCTCAGCAATTACTGACTTCTTTGTGCTTTCCCTGCTGTTCTGGTTGTTGATGATGACTCTGAGTGTGCCTTCATACCAGGAAGGTAGAGCTTATGCAATGCCTCCCAGCTGGCTCTTTCTGTGACTGCTCCTCCAATGACCTGGCATCTACTTTTCCTCAGATGTCCCCAAAGAGCAGCGGCTGCAGGCTGTGCAGGCCACCATCCTGCTACTGGCCGATGAGAACAGGGAGGTCCTGCAGACGCTCCTGTGTTTCCTGAATGATGTCGTCAACTTAGTGGAAGAGAATCAGATGACGCCCATGAACCTGGCAGTGTGTCTGGCCCCCTCCCTCTTTCATCTTAATTTATTGAAGAAAGAAAGCTCTCCACGGTGGGTTTTTTTTTCTCAGCAACAGCAGTAATCCCAAAGCAGGCATTCCCCACAGTTCATAAGGCAGGTTGGATGGATGGATGGATAGATAGATAGATACATATGAATGGATATATTGATAGACAGATGATAGGTAGGTAGGTAGATAGATGATAGATTGATAGATGATACATAGATAATAGATGACAGATGATAATGAGAGAGATAAATTGATGATTGATAGGTAGATAATAGAGATAGATACTAGATTATAGATAGATAAAATGTGTCTCATGCTACATTTCAACTTCAGGATTTGTCAAACACTCTTCATAATCAGAAAGTCTTGTGAGGCACCCTAATTCACAGGGCTCAGATTCATAGAATTATTGAGCTAGCATTGAAGAATGCCAGTTTTGATCCAGAAAGCCTGAGTTTTGTTTTGTCTGTGTGAGGGAGGAGGAAAACATTCACAAAGTAGTATTTTACAATCTTTAGTTTAAAAGGCTATATTTAAGACCAAAGCACAGGAGCTTGCAGTTAGGGGGTTTCAAACTTTGGAAAAACAGATTAATTTCTTCCCCCACCATTCTTCCTGACCTTTTAGTTTTCCAAGATTTTTCCTTGTGATCTGTCAGACTGTTAATCTGATTCAGAATATCTAAGATATGTGATCATTGTTTTTATTTGGAAACGCCAAAGCATGGGATCTGGAGAGCATCTGTGTATAAACAGAAAACCAAAGGGATGAGTTTGGTATTGTGACAAGCTCTTTGGTGTGGGATCCTCTTTGCACACTCACATTCAATTGCAGAGTCATACAGAAGAAATATGCCACCGGGAAGCCAGATCAAAAGGACCTCAACGAGAATCTGGCAGCAGCTCAGGGGCTTGCGCACATGATCATGGAATGCGACAGACTTTTTGAGGTGAGCAAAAGGCTTGAACCTCCGCCTCCCTTGTAGCTCTTGGAACTAGATAAGACGCCTGGGATTGTTACTACATTTGCAGTTTCTATCTGTTTGTTCCTGATTTTATAATGACAATAGTATACGCTATAGCTCTGGTCTTTCCTTCCAAGAAAGGTGAGGAGCTAGCTATACAATTGAGGCTTTGATAAGGACACTCGGGGTTACTGTGCTGATGGTTTTCCTGCAAACATTTGCATCACCTGCCATTGTCAGGTTCAAGGCCAGTCAGCCAGTTATGTTCTGTTTGATTTCACCTTGGGACTTGATTAGGTTAAACATCTGTGTGAGTGTGTTTGTGATACTGAGCAATCTTTGTTGCTAAGAACTAGTGACAGCTTATGAATACAGCCACAGTCATGTAAAAGAAGTAAGTGAACCAGACTTGTGGCATACTTTTGTGATAGAATTGGCATTTGTCAATGGGAAAAGTGTGCTAAAAAAGTCAAGCTATGCCCAAGTCATGTTTGATGTTTCCCTTCACAAGTCTATCTGTTTTAAGTCTTATTCACAGTGGGTAAAGTCTGAGCCCACATTTTGCCGAATTGAATAAAAAGACATTGGAGGTAAAATAGAAGGGAAATGGAAAGAATGAAGAGGAAGTCATTGCAATGTTTTGAATCATAAATACAGCCTCAGAAACATATGTGTATTTCCTGATGTTAGAAAGGCCCCTCCTGGCCTTGGCAGTGATCTTAGAAAAACATCTCCGTCCCTAGGGCCCTGGGCCCGTGGCTCCAAGCCAGGTTGTGGGTGAAATGGCTTTGCTTTCTCTGAGTCTCGGCATTTCTTTGGCTCAGTGTGTTGCTCTTTCGTGCATCCATTGGTCTAGGTTCCACACGAGTTGGTGGCCCAGTCTCGTAACTCATATGTGGAGGCTGAGATCCACGTGCCAACCCTGAAAGAATTGGGGACACAGCTGGAGGAGAGTGGGGCAACTTTCCACACTTACCTGAACCATCTCATCCAGGGCCTCCAGAAAGAAGCCAAGGAGAAGTTCAAAGGATGGGTCACGTGTACCAGCACCGACAATACAGACCTTGCTTTCAAAAAGGTAATCTCAGGGCATGGAGAAAGATCGCCCCCAGAAAGCCACAGCTAACAATCAGACATTTGTTTTTGCATTGAAAAATGGCTGTAGTGTCCACAGGGCTTGGCACAGTTAAGGCACATGTACCACTCAAAGACTCAGTCCAGAGATCTGTTGCCTATAATCAGAGGGCAGAATATGGAGCCAGATGGCTGGATCCCAGTCCTGTCTCTACCCCTTAGTTGTGTAATATTGGGCAAGTCACACACCTCTTTGTGCCTCCGTTTTCCCATCTGCAAAATGGACGTTGTAAGAGTACCACTGTCGGAAGAAGGCTAATTTAAAAAACAATGACTTAGAACAGTGCCTGGCACATAGTAACCACCATGCATGTTGGTGATGCGCATTTTTATCGTCATCATTATTTTTTGTTTGTTTTTTGAGACTGAGTCTCGCTCTGTCACCAGGCTGGAGTGCAATGGCACAATCTTGGCCCACTGCAGCCTCCGCCTCCAGGGTTCAATTGATTCTCATGCCTCAGCCTCCCGAGTAGATGGGATTACAGGCACATGCCACCACAACCAGCTAATTTTTGTACTTTTAGCAGAGACAGGGTTTTACCATGTTGACCAGGATGGTCTCAATCTCCTGACCTCGTGATCTGCTCACCTCAGCCTCCCAAAGTGCTGGGATTACAGGCGTGAGCCACCGCGCCCGGCCGCATTATTCTTGTTTTCAGCTTAAGGACTAAAATGTTAAATCCGAGGTATGTAGCGTCACTTTCAATTTACATAATCAGTGATGGTTTTCGAACACCCAGCAAAGTATGGTAGGAAAACCAAAAGCCCAAACAAAAAATGTTGGACCCATATCCCAGACAGCCTCTTCAGCTTCTGATGTTGTCTTTCCCAAGGTGGGTGACGGGAACCCGCTGAAGCTGTGGAAGGCTTCTGTGGAGGTGGAAGCGCCCCCCTCGGTGGTCCTGAACCGTGTGCTGAGAGAGCGGCACCTTTGGGATGAGGACTTTGTGCAGTGGAAGGTTGTGGAGAGTCTAGACCGACAAACAGAAATCTACCAGTACGTGTTGAACAGCATGGCCCCTCATCCTTCCAGAGACTTCGTGGTTCTCAGGTGAGCCTGACTCAAGGTTTATGATGTTCTGTTCCAAAGGTGGGATGTGAGCTGCAGATGTGAGCACCTCCTGGGATCTCCTACTGAAGTCCAGCCTCCACGGGGAACACCAAGCCGGCTCTTGTCTCCCTCAGTGACAGCTGAGTTTTCCATGTTAATGCCGGATTTCCTGCATCTTTTCATCCAGACTACAGCTCTGCCAGGGCACTCTGATGGCCCCTCTCCTTGTGGAGGACACAGTTTATTAGGCCATAAATATTGTTCATTTCCTCAGAACATACAGCCCAGAAAAGCTGCTGTGTGTCCAGTAGCGCTTTCTGCCAAATTATGCAAATGCATCTCACTGGCTTTTCTTCTGATCTTGCTTTTCTCCCCCGTGGGAAAGTGTGTGTAACTGTCGAGACTGGAGTAGGTATGACATCAGAAGTCATCTGTATAACTTCAGATGTTTATAGCTGGTTACCACGCTCAGAAACCTTGGCACTGCCCTGGAGATCCAGAAACGCTTGCTGATTCTGTTTCTGCCAAGGAAATATTGCTTCTGATTGATGTAAGGGTTGAGTTTCAGACACCTGCTCTCGGGGTTTGGAAGGGGATGCTCAACCAATGATAGAAAGTTTGCACAGTAGAAATGCAGTATTGCATCCACAAGAACAGAAATCAAGGGTACTAAAGAACCTGACTAAAAAGTAATTAGATCAATATATCTTTTTTTATGGAAAAATCTTGGCAAACCCTGTCTCATGTCACAGATCAGCAATGTAAAAGGAACCTATTGTGAAACTCCCAAATGTGTATTTAAAACACTTCCTTTATGAAACCAGTTTTGATGGCAAACTAAAGGTTACTTTTCACATGAGCTCTTTATGACTTTGGAATTGGCCCTTGGAACCTTGACTTTTAAAGGTGAATATTCCCTAAATATATGTATTTATCTCTGCTTCCTTGAGGTCCTGGTGGAGAATGCAGACAGTTTATAAGGGTGGCATATTACCAAAGTTATTAGGACATTAGTCATCTGGTGGAATTAAACTTCAGGCTTTCACTCCACAAGCGGCAAGTTGAAGAGCTGTTGCAGGATGGCTGCCATGGGGATGGGTTCATGCCATAGCCCATAGCATGCTCCTCCCTCCCTTCAGAGGAGGCTGAGGGCCTGAGTCTGTGTGTGGAACCTCCCTCCTTCCATCCATCCGGCAACCACACCAGCCTGCTATGTATTAGTGCTCCGTTCCATCATGCCCACATGCCAGGCACTGTAATAGGCTCTGGGTATGACGCGTGAATGCAGCAAACCATTCTCCTTCTCTCTTGGGGTTTGTATTTCACTGGGAAAAGAAGGTTCATAACAAGTAAGAAAGGGAGATGGGCTAACTTATCCTGGGAGGAATAAGATAGGGAGATAGTAAGGGATGGAATTTTAAATAGAATGGTCAGGGGGCGGTCTCACTGCACTAATTTTGATTCAAGACTTGAAGAAGTGGGGGTGGACTGTGAGGCCTTGAGGCCCTGAAGGAGAAGAGGTGCAGCCCTCCACGAGTTAGCAATGAACCAGATCTGGTTCCTGCCAACAGGAATTCCTTATGTGTCGGATACAAGAAGGTGGAAAGTGACAGGTGTGGTGAGGAGGCACAAGGCTGACATGCATCGTGTCTTCAGAGCATCTTCCCTTCTAGGCTGGCATGTATGAGTCTGGTCACCTTTCAGGATCACCACATTTGTCTCTCATGTCACACCCGTTGCTAGCTCCTTGGAAGCTTCCACTGAGAGTTGCTGAAGATTTTCCCATTTATCCGTACAAATCGCCACAGCTTTTAGTCTTCACGATTTATCACGTCATCGTTCATGAAAAGAGTGGTCACAGCATGGAAGTTGCTGAGCATTTGTGTGGGGCTTGCTTATTCCCAAGTTCTTGTCACACACATATCATCATTTCTCTTCCTGGTGTAGAAGGACAGGGTGAAGTCATGGAGGAGATGACTTAGTAAAGGAATAGAATTTGTGGAGTAAATAATGGGAATTCTTTTTTTTTTTTTTTTTTTTTTTTTTGATGGAGTCTCACTTTGTGGCCCAGGCTGGAGTGCAATGACACAATCTCATTTCACTGCAACCTCCGCCTCCCGGGTTCAAGCGATTCTCCTGCCTCAGCCTCCCAAGTAGCTGGGATTACAGTGCATGCCACCACACCCGGCTAATTATTTTTGTATTTTTAGTAGAGAAGGGGTTTCACCATGTTAGCCAGGATGCTCTTGCAATCTGCCCCCCTCAGCCTCCCAAAGTGCTGGGATTACAGGCATGAGCCACTGCACTCAGCCAGGAATTCTAATAATACAATCTATTATTATAGATCTCTAGGGTAGAAAGGGAAGTTAGAGGTACACAGATGTTGGCACAGCTCCTGACTCCCATCCACAACCTGCTTGAATAGTTCCAGGAACAGCGAACTCACTGCCTCCCAGGGCAGCCCATTTCTCCTGTGAACAGTGCACATTGTTAGACAGTGTTTCTCTCCTGCACAGAAATACACCTTCCTATCTCTGCCTTCTGGAGCCAAATCAACTATATTCATTTTTTTTCCCACTCAAGAGCCGCTCACGTATTTGAAGACAATAAGCAGGCCCACATATGTTTCATTTCCTTCAAGCTAAGTGTACCAGTTCACGTCTCCCAGGAAGCCTTCTCCATATTCCTCCCGCAGCCCCGCTCCATGTGATCCCAGAGCTCTCCGTGCATAACCTTGTCAGTGCACTTGCCCCGGTGCTTTTAGAATTCTGCTTAGAGTTGTCAGTTTTTCCTCCTGGGCTGTGTGTATCTTTATGTCCGTGGTGGCTTCTCAGAGCCTGGCATATTTATGTGCTTAATTGATGTCTGCTGAATGAATTGAAGGAGTGAGTTCTAATTCCTAAACTGTAAAACCACCTCTTCTAGAATAGGCAGGAGTCTCTGTAGCCCAGCAGGGCTGGGGGTTCCGAATGCAGATGGGAAAGCCGCAAGACCGTGTCTGGCCTCAAAGTACCAGAGCTGAGATCCTTGCTTTGAAATTCTCTCTATAAACTTTACACAAGCTTATGAAAACCATCACCTTAATCCAAGTCACTAGAATTGGAAGCGGAGCCCAGGTTATTGGCAGGAAAACATCAGCACAAACCTTAGCTGTGTGTTCAGGTTTTTCTTCCTCCCTCAGTCATGACTGATCTGCGGATTGTTTTGCTAAAGGATGTGGAAGACGGATCTGCCCAAAGGAACGTGTACCCTGGTGTCCCTCTCTGTGGAGCACGAGGAAGCCCAGCTCCTGGGTGGCGTGCGAGCGGTGGTGATGGACTCACAGTACTTGATAGAACCGTGTGGCTCTGGCAAGTCGAGACTCACTCACATCTGCAGGATAGACCTGAAGTAAGTGCCAAGTCCCCCAGTGGCACATCCAGCAGGGATGTCACCCTGATTTGGTTTCTTGTTTCATTGTTTTCTCCCCTCTGTCTTTCCCCCTTTGCTGAAATTCTGACATTTCTCCTGCAGCCCTTTGCCTTTCTTTATTTTCCGTTTTAAGCCCACTTATATTTCTGTTTCTCCCGTGAAACACACACCAGTAACAGAGCCTGACACATAGGAGATACTCAGTAAATCAGAGCTTTCTTCTCTTATGTTTCTTTTTGAGATAGGGTCTCATTCTGTCACCCAGGCTGGAGTGTAGCGGTGCCATCAGGGCTCACTGCAACCTCCACCTCCCGGACTCAAGTGATCCTCCCTCCTCAGCCTTCCCAATAGCTGAGACTACAGGTCCCCCCCATCATACTCAGCTAATTTTTGTATGTTTTTGTAGAGACCGAGCCTTGCCATGTTGGTTGGGCTGGTCTCAAACTCCTGGCCTCAAGTGATCTGCCCGGCTTGGCCTCCCTAAGTGCTGGGACTCCAGACATGAGCCACCGCCCCCGACTGTGTGTTTCTTTTATGCCTGTCCCCTTTTGCTGCTCCCTCTGATAGTTCTTTGAGAAGAAATTAACTTAAATCCAATCCCCTCAAGGCATTCATGTGCTAAACCCAGTTCTTGGTCTGGGTAGGCATAACGGAATTTTCACAGTAAATTCTGGATTTCATCTGAATCTTTTCACTTTACCCTGAGGTGTTGGTATCATTTTAAAGCACCTGATGAGTTCTGAAAAGACGGCATGCATACTTGGCAGCCAGGACGTGTTCAAGGCCTCTGATGACAGAATGAGGTCCTGAGCCCCTGGAGGTGGCAGCCCAGGTTGTCTGCAGGTGCACCAGTCATCGGGGCCCAAGGGCAGCCCTGTCCACCATGACTAATTGCTGTGATTTGGAAAAATAACTTTCCCACTCCCTTTCTGATTTCTTTCCCCACAGAGGTCACTCCCCAGAATGGTACAGCAAAGGCTTTGGACATCTGTGTGCAGCGGAAGTTGCCAGGATTAGAAACTCTTTCCAGCCCCTCATTGCTGAGGGCCCAGAAACTAAAATCTGAGTTTTCCCCAGTGTGACATCCAACTCAGGGAAGAGGAAACTAAAGTAACACGTATGGTAGAGAGTGTGCACGTGAGAAAGCAAGAGAAAGAGGAACCGACGGATGTGGTTAATGCCTAAAAATGGAAACGTTAAGAAGCTGGAATGCTGGAGATGCAAGAATTTCCAAGAACTTTCCTAGCCTTCCTGGAGATGGCTACATCCCTACTAATATAATTTTAAAGTGAGAACATTTATCTATGTTGCTTAAAATTAAATGGATTATTCCTTGTGCATTGCCTAATTTGCTATTTAAAGGCTTCTAAGAAGCGTATACTTAACTGTAAATAAATGTATGTATAGCATATGTACATATGTGTGTATATCTCCATCTTTACTGTATATATGTAAAATACCAATTTTATATAGAATTGTGTGTTTTGAAAAGGATGGTGTCTGACTCAGTGAGTCCCGTCCTCACAGAGTTCTTTCCAAGTGGCGCTGGGCCCCATCTCTCTACTGTCCTGTAAGCTGTGCAGAACCTGCTGCTAACACCAAGGTGTGAACATGCCCTGATGTCTAACCAAAGATTAGCTAACCAAAGGAAAATAACATTAAAGGGGACTTACGTGTTGATGCTTTGTTTCTGTTATTCAAAAACTGAGAGTGGAATTCTGGGATGAAGCAGGGAAAGAATACTCCTCCTCAAAGCAAAGCAGGGGGTGAGAAGTCATCACCAAGTTTAAGGCTAGATGAGGAGTTGCCACTCGGCCCAACGAGATGCAATTTCAGTGAGCTACGGACCACTGGAGTCAGTGAGAATGACGGAAACAGAAGCAATACCTCCCACTCCCACGCCCACCACTACAGCCCCCAAGTCAAGATGAATACGATAGCCTTTACTTATTCACAGCCAAAGGGAGCCCCTGTGTTGTCTCAAGTTTTTATACATTCATTTCATCATGTTGTTAAGTTGTCGTTCTATTTGACCAGTGGCCTATTTGGTCACAGTTAATTGGTATTTTCTTATTGCACTGAATTCCACTCTGGACACCACAACATGAAGGGAGATGATGGCCATTCCGTTCAATTCCTAGATCATTACAGCTTCAGGGAATTCATATTTTGCTATGTGTAGGATGCTCTTAAAATGTAATTCATTAAACTTTTGCAATCTGAAAGACAGGGTTTTTAACTAACAACATAAGACCAAAACTATATTCTTTGATTAGTTTTAGAAAGTATAATCTGGTTTATTAATTCTTCTCTGTTTCTTCACTAGCCAGTCCAAGCTACCTATGCATTTGACCCAACCTTATTTATTACTGTACAGACTAAGCAAATTGACTCCCCTTAGCCACCTGCTAATGGATCTAATGTGCTTCTTATTGTAATTCAGCAGTTCTGGAGAGAAAGGTAACTTATTGTGTGTTTGATTTCAGGGAGAGAGATTTTCTTTGGTCATTTATAATAGAGATTGATATGATTTAGCAACTTGAATTGGAGGAAAAAAAGAAAAGCAAATGAGTGTTTTCAGGTTCTTTGTATTATATGCATTTATATAATGTTTGTTTCTGTTAGCAATGTGCAATTATTTTATTGAGAGGAATAAAAACGCTTTCTATGAGTTTGGTATGGTGCAAGAAAAATCATAGAGTTTGAATTATGACCTAGGAATTTTTTATTCCCATATCTACCTAAGAAGATAACAGCAAATCCGTAATTTTCCATTTGGGCAATGCTTTGTGAGCAAAACAAAGTCACTTCTGCCATAACATCTTAAATGAAACCATGTATGCCAGATTATTTTATATGCATTAACAAGATCTCTAGTGAAGTTTAATCTAGCTAAACACTGGTCCTGCTCCAAAGACGGGATCCGACGTGTTTGGAAAATGTGATAAGCACACAAGGATGAGTGGCTTTGGATCACCCAGAGAGGTGCTTGTCCAGCTTTCACATGCACCTGAATTGCCTGGGGATCTAGTGAAACTGCAGACTCTGCTCCAGGTAATCTGGGCTGGCCTGAGATTCTGCATTTGTAAGGAGTCTCAGGGATGCCTGTGCTGCTGGCCTAAAACCACACTCAGAAACAAGGACCTAGAAGATCCCTAAAATAGAATAAAAACAAATGTGATTGTATTTCTGACTCTCCCTCTCTTCAAATTACCTTTTTGGTTTTTGTGCACAAAGTAATCACACCACCGCTGCATAACAACACGGTGCATCTTTTTAAAAAAAGGAAAAGGGAAAGAAAGGAGAAAAAAACCATGCATCAAGCTTATTTGTCAAATACCACAGTATTTTATTCATTGTTATCTTGCCAATGGAAATAAAGTATGATATTGCATTTAAATATTATATTTATACCTCATGTATATTTTTACCTCAATTGTTGGCATCAATCATCAATTGTAAATAAATAATTGCCAGGGCAAATAAATTTATATATATATTAAATATTTCCTATTTTCTATAAAATAGATGTTGATTTTCATGCTTCATCTTTAAATGGAAAACTTGCTTCATGAGGAAGATTTCTCCCAAGATAGCTGTCCATGACCTTGACTTCCTGGTACCATCTATAGTCAATTCTGTCTTCAAATACATGGATGTTGTCAATAGACATTCACTGTCAGGCCGGGTGCCTTAACCTGGGTCTAAGGAATTAAAGTTATGGGGGGGGGTGGCTTCTTAAATTTAATTGTCCTTAAATCTAGAAGTTATAAAAACATATTCATATTTTTTATCAGAGATTTAGTAAACTCTTTAGCTACATTTTATTTTGGTTAAGTAGACAAGAAATCAAGATTTGATGAAGTGACTTACAGCTGCATTACTAGACCATGAAAAGTTGCCATAAACAATTCTGACTCTCTTCCTTTCTACCCTGAACTCTGGGGTTCACTTCTAAATATCAGCAGAGATAGCCCTTAAGAAAGCAGGGGCTCTCAGATATTCTCAGGCACAGGTTTCCAAAGCCACAGAAGCCCAGAAGACCAAATGTCCCTACAAAAGTTGTCCCAACTCTGCTCTCTGCTCATCTCACATACACCTTGCCCTGTTACTTCAAAGTTTTGTTTTCATAGTAGGGAAAGGAGGAATTCAATGGCGCTTTTTCTCTTCTACATGAAAGAAAAGAATGTGATGGTCATTCTAGCAACCACAGGCTGCAGATGTCCTGAGAGTATGGATCATATGAATTCAAACGTGATTCCTGCTAATTACCTTTATCTCATTACTATTTATGTGTCAACACATACAATGATTAGGTACCCCACAAATATATACAATTTCAAATACTATTTGTCAACTAAAAATAATTTTTAAAAGGAAAAAAATTTTACATTATTCCAAATACTCTTCGTGAAATTCTTAAGATATAAAACTGTTCTATCTGTGTCTTTGATATTTGGTCACAGAAAAACTGGCCATATGGTTCCTTCTCAGGAAGATAAATGTAAAGGTATAAAACAGACCCCAACCAAATGGAGTGTCACATTCTGACACAAAAGCAAAATCAATGTGTGCTGACTGCACAAGGAGTGAAGAAATAAACACCTGACCTTGCAACATTGGTATGTTACAAAGTCATGCAGTTGGAAGAACAGATGATGTACAATTTTTGACATTCCATAGGCAGACTATATCCTTCCTAGGTTTCTTAAAGACAGTGTTTGCTTTCATTCTAATAATCACACCCATCAGCCTCCTAGATGTCACCTAGCTTATATCCTTCTGTTGCACAGCTGAGGCTCAAAATTCCCAGTAATACTGTATCTCCATAGAAAACTTGCTTGCATAAGTAAGACTTTATTCACTTAGCACAAGTTTATTCAACAGTGAATAGGAGTGCGATGCTAGTAGCTAGAGGTGTTGATACAAAGAAGACATGATGTGAAGCAGAAGCTGATGAACAGTCAATTTTCATTATTTGTGGTAGTTCCTTTCTATAAAGTTGTTGTGAACACTGAATTAGCGAATACTGAACCATTGCTCCTAGGGGAAATACAGGGTTAGGTTCCTGTGAGCCTCAGGTCACAACATTTTCGTCAACCCATCACTACGCAACCTTGTTTTATTGGGTTTGTTTAAGGCACCTTCTTTAATATATATTTCTTAGAAGAAATACCTGCAGTATTTCTTTATAATAAAATCCTAGTTATCTGCAGTATTTCTTTATAATAAAACAATATTTCTTTATAATAAAAACCTTTATAATAAAACTATTTCTTTATAATAAAACCCTAGAGAAGGATTTAACATTTCCCTGATGCTAGGTAACATAACTATAAATTTCTTGGGCTTTCAGCCTCTCAACAGTGTTCTCTTTACTACACTTTAAAAATCAGTTGTCATTTTATAAATTCATAAATTTAGCTGCCTTTCTGTCTTTTCCATAGCTTCTCCATGCACTATAAATGTCACTTCAGCACTTTCCAGAACAGCTTCATGTACATATTGGTGAACTTCCTTTTCTGGATGTACTATATTGTTGATTTATTAACATTGAACTCACACCAACAGCCCTGTAACTCAGGCATGAAGGAAACTCATCTAACACACATGTTTTCTCCATGAGGTATACCCTCAGCCTTCTTGTACTTAGGAACATTAGACAGCACTTTAGTGCAACATCTGGGGACCATTAGAAAAGTGAAATTACCACCCCAAAGCACAAAAATTTGGGGAAAAAATGGCAATTAATAGACTGTAAAAAGGGCACATTTATAGTATGTGAGCCAAAAGAAGAAGGCAGTGAGCACACTGACCTCAGCTGGGAATGTGCATTCGCGTCAGCGACTCTCATTTGTTGATGATCTGAAAATGTCCAAAAATAACCATGAAATCACTGCAAGTATCGATCTGGGGGTTACAAATAAGTGTTAATGAGTAGGTGAATTCACAAATGTAGAATCCACAAATAATGAGGAGGATCTATACATACACCACCCAGTGACAGGTCACTCTGAATTCTGCAGAGCCCAGGGGAGTCAGAGGACAGGACGTTCTGTCCTCTGCTGGAAGTCCAAGTTGGAAGGGCTTGGACTTTTATCTGTTGGGAAAACTAGACCCAAGAGGCAGAGAAGTGAACTCGCACTAGTTTGGCTGAAATAGATTTAAAATGGACTCGGAGCCCATTAAAACAGACTTGAAGTATTAACAGCAAAACAGACTTGGACGTAAGATAGACTTGGAACATTGCTAGGCACAGGGGCAGGATTGTAAAGTTATACCCATCTTTGCCAATGTTCTTCACCCATTTTGTTTTTACATTAGATGTACAGGTATTAGAGGTATCTCACCACCTGTCCTTTCTGAGCTGAAACTAATCCATGATAACTTGCCTTTCTTTTAATTTTATAACCCACTCCTTTCCCCCACTTAATGTAGAATATTTAGGAAAACTTGGCATTCATCTGATTAACTCAGAGAAGATACTTTTAAACCAAAATAACACCTTTGACGCCATGCATGACCCAGAGAGAACCAGAGAGAATCAGTGTAGGTGTTACGTGAGCCTAAGATGCCAAGAGCTGATAAGATGAGATTACTGGTGAGATCCCCAAGGACAAACCCCAAATCAGCAGGAAAGGCAGAGTTGCCAGGTTGATGCCGGCCTCTCTTGTTATGATGCCCATTGGTTGTCATAGGAGGTGGGCTTATCCCAGTGATGAGCAAGTGCTAAGCCTGAGCCATTCCTCACTGCCAGAGGAAGTCTTCAATCTGCATAAGCTAGGCTTGAGCTGTCAGTTTGCCTCTGCTCACAACTCCAGCACAGCCAAGACATGGGGCCAATCCTTCCCATAGGCCAGACTAGTCTGTCCTTTCCTGGCTAGTGCAGGCCCCTGAGGGTGCAAAGGAGATGCTTTGGATTGGTAACCTGAATGACTAGTGGTTATGTTGAGGATGGACTGGCATGATGAAGGAAGGGCAGAGTGATCTGTGAATCCAATTAAAAGACTGTTCTAACAGTCTAGGTGAAAAATGCTATGGGCAAAGAAATGGATGGGTTTTAAAACATTTCAGAGCTATAATAGAACTAATAAGATCTATATACTAGCTTGTTTTGTTTAGAGGCTATAATTTATCAAAACGTGCACACAAACACAGACTTACATGGCGCCATTTCCACTTGACAGAAATGTGAACTTAAATATGCAATATTAAATCACAGCTGCATAAAATTAACTTTAGTACATACTGTACTACTGTAATAAATTCATAGCCACCTCTTGTTGCTATTTCAGTGAGCTCCAGTGTTGCAAGTAACTGCTTAAAGTGCCAGCTGATGCTCCTCATCCACATGTGAATAGTTTGTCTCTCTGGTAAATTGTATATCACAACAAAAAGTAATCTCTTGTAGTTCTTAAGTGTTTTTCACTATGCAATATTGTAAACCTTGACTAACACCAAAGGACCTATACAAAGTACTACTAGTGATGCTGGAAGTGCTCTCAAGAAGCAGAAAAAAGTCATGACATTACAAGAAAAAGTTTAATATCATGCAGACCATAAATTATGGTCTACAGCTGTGGTTGCCCATCATTTGAAGATAAATAAATCCAGGGAAAGGACCATTGTAAAAACATAAAAAAGCAAAGAAAGAAAAAGAAAAGGGAATTTATGAAGCTGTGGCTGCAGCGATAACAGCAGACATGAAAATCTTAGCACTTTTAGTGAAATATCTTTTAATCGTGTATTGAAAGTGTATCTTTTATGTAGGTGCAGGATTGCTACAAGAAAGATATACCTACAGGGTTTAATATAATTTGAAGAAAAGCAAAGTCATTATATGATAACTTTAAAAAAATTAAGGCAAAGGATCTAAACCTGGAGAATTTAATGGCAGCAAAGGATGGTTTGATAATTTTAGAAAAAGGTTTGGCTTTAAAAAATGTCATGATATGCAAAAATCTTCAATAAAATACTGGCAGGCCGATTGCAACAGCACATCAAAAAGCTTATCCACCATGATCAAGTAGGCTTCATCCCGGGGATGCAAGGCTGGTTCAACATACACAAGTCTATAAACATAATTCACCACATAAACAGAACCAAAGACAAAAGCCACGTGATTATCTCAATTGATGCAGAGAAGGCCTTTGACAAAATTCAACAGCCCTTTATGCTAAAAACCCTCAATAAGCTAGGTATTGACGAAACGTATCTCAAAATAATAAAAGCTATTTACGACAAACCAGCAACCAATATCATACTGAATGGGCAAAAACTGGAAGCAT